TGAAAACCCAGTTATAAAGTCAACGCCTCCAATACGTGCTGTGCATGCAGTACATTTGCAGTGAAGCCAGTGAAGGCAGTGAAGGCAAAGCCGAAAGGCAGCACAACTTAACTGCTGCTCCAGCTACTCCAGCTACAGAGCCTTAGAACACCGCGAATGGCCTGCACAGTGCGGAACGCGATTTAACGATTAAAACAATGGTGTGCTTGCATGACGCTCTATGCATTCAACCACTTCTTCTGTCCGTCGATCGCCCGTCCATCCTCATTTGCCGCGAATGTATCCCGCGAATGCATCTCATTGTGGGCTTGCAAACATATTGCAAGCATTTCAAAGGCAAAACTCCATTGCATGCAACCAACTATTCTGCAAGCAACTTTCTTGTTAACCTCGTTTAATCGACAACCCTTGCGACCGGTATTCACTGCGATAACTTCAACCACATTGCGCTGGTAGCGAACTACAACTTTTTGACAAGGACGTTGCACATTCGTCTTCATCGGGAAGTGCTCTGCTTTTTTGATGCGATGCGATGCGATGTTTTGCTGCATGTGTTGCTGTTGATGTGGCTTAATCGGGCTAATGTTAGTTATTAAAATATGAAACGTGATGCATTTGATGCTCGGCAATCAGAATAACAGGCAATGGCAATGGTGCATTATTCCCCAGCACTTTACAGCTTTAGGTTATGTGCAAACTCTCCGCTCCAATGGCAGTTGTAAGCATATGAATTCCTCTGAAACAAAATGTTTTGTTATTTTTAAATAATTTTTTTTTTTTGCTTCTTAATACAGCGATTTCTTGTGAAGAAAGGCGGGGAAAATTCTTGGCGATGTTAATCTTAATGCTCAAATAGCAGGTCACAAGTTTGCAGCTCGTTTGGCGGGAAATGCCCGCGTAAATTTGTTTTCGCTAATTTTTTTATAGAGATTTCGACGTTATCGTTTTTCACTTGCTTAAGCCTCAAGATGTGCCTACAGATTATACATAATAGGTATACAATATGCACACATGAAACTACATCGCCTTATTATGTTCACTTAACTCAAAATATTATTTACACAGCCTACTTTTATTCCTATATAAAAATAAAAATAATAATACTGAATCAGCTCTAAAAGACCTATCCTAAAATAAAACCTTTATAGTCAGAGATAATTTTATAAAAAATTGCTAGAAACCATTGTAGCAACTAAATCACTAAAGCGAAAATATAATAAATAAAGAAGAATTAAGCATGTGTAGTGTTATGCTATATCAAAAACGCTTTCTAGGTAATTTGAAGAGATATCCCCTTTCACTTTACATATTCTACAGATAATTTGGTGACTTTATTAACTTCTTGAGTGATAAGTTTAAATACCACACTGCTTCTGTCAAATATCATATCGTAACAGCGGACGAAACATGAAACCATCACAAGATACCAGAGATCAAAGAACACCCAAAGCAACAGACTTATCCAAATGAAAGTGCATCAAAGAATGTCAAAGTAGACCGGTCGTATAATAACTTCATGGCGATAGTTTTTCTCGATATCATTCAAACCGATTACCTTGAAAAGGGTAACATGTTCTACCGCAAATTTTATTCATAACTGTTGGAGAGATTCGGCATCATTTTGAAGAAAAAACGACCATATTTGGTGAGAAAGAAAATAACTCGATGGTAAAAGATTTGAATCAAGTCGAAAAGTCATCACTGACACAAATTCGTTTTTATTATTGTTAATGCTAAACGCTTCTTTGTATAAAAATATATTTTTAATTAGAAAAATCAGTGATGTATTAAAAAGCTCCCAAATAAGAACACCGGCTTCTCTTAAAGAAGACATCATGCTAACCGAATGGAAGACATTTACTTGATGTCAGATATTATGGCGTTTTTAAAGCAGCGAATTCAATACGTTAAATCTGAGTGAATTATTTCTAGAATAATTATTGTCATCTTCAATGAAACTCCAATGAAAAGTATTTATTATTCTTGCTAATATGATTCTATTAAGCAGTTACGTGTGATAATTGCTATAAAGATTAAATATATTAACTTATTGCATTGTAAGTAAAAGCATTGCAAGGATTTTTTACTCTAAGTCCAGCTAACCATAATTTTCTTTAATATTATCTTTGAGATATAAATGCCCATATCACCAATGAACCCATTGATAACAGCACAACAATTTTTATCTATAATATTTACAGATTGATGATGATATATCAAGAACCATTGAAAACTTAGTAAATGTTTAATAACTAAAAATAAATGCAAAATAATTCCGATTAGAGATGTTTAAGAATCATATATCTTACTCTTTATCAATAACTCTTTATCAATTGTACTAATCTACGCTTCCAATAATGTTACAGAAAGTTACGGACGCCAATACCAACCATGGACACATCACTTATGTGAAGAGCTTGCTCTTCAATAACTCTGATAATACAGATAAAACGTTCGTTAATATAAAAGTAAACTCAGTTAAAGCTTCAAAAGGACATATATAAAACTTGTTGTCATTATGTTAAATGATCTTTTATGGTACTTATCTTGAAATATTTGGAAGTCACAATCGTGTATCATAGTTAGTAACATCCAACCCGATTAGCTAGCCCTTTCAGTGTCTAACTGATAATTTTTAGTAGTACCGACGACATATATTCAAATTGTTTGTCACTCCGTCCTTCTAGCGAAGATGTGTATGTATTTTACTGCGTTTTCTAATAGGATTTATCAAATAAAACACCTCTCCACCTGAGAAATTTTCATACATACAGACGACATAAGCAAACCAACGAAGTTACTAAATTTTAATACTCTTAAATACTTCTAGTAAAAATATTCTGCTTTAATAACTTTATTGCACTTTAGTAATACTACAAAGAACTGTTTGTAAGACATTATATAGGTTATTACAGACAAGACATTAGAAGCTGACTATTATAGACTGAAATCCACTCACCTGATTCATTATCTAATACCAGACCTGTGTTAGTATAACAGTCGTCATACAGTTTAAAAGAAAGACGAAACAGATATTATATGAAAAATAAATATAAGAGATATTAAAGTATATTAACTAAGATGCAGATAGTATTATCTAAAACTATATTTTCTAGAGTTCAATTTAGCAATAAAACCACTTTTAAAATGAAAGCACAGACCTTAATATATGTATTTTCCGATTGTTTTCTAATATACCTTTAACTTCATTAGCATTAATCCAATAAATTTATATTTTAAAAAGAATAACAATTAAAAGTTTAATGGGTGTATGTACAGAAGGCTCACAGATATTTCCGGCTAGTCGATGTTCTGTTGCTATTTTTACGGCACTTAATAATATTAATATTATTAATATTAATATTTCATTTTGTTACTGTCGGAATTTGAAATAATCAATTCCTTTAATTAAAATAAATATCCTTACCCTTTTTTGAATAATATATACTGTATAAAATATTATGTACTTAAGACAAATACATAATGTAGCTCATATAATAGTTTCATTGAAGGCGGTTACTCTGCCACCTGTACATTTAAATTAAAATTTTTTCAAAAAGGTTTAACGCAGCATTGAAAAAAACCCTTTTATAATTTGGTGTGTGTATATGGTTAGCCAAATATATATTTATTTGTACATTACACACATTATTTGTACTGTACACATACTGTACAACATATTTTTCTGATATATTTATTTAAATTTCGTTTTTATCCCTCATTTTAAATATAATATGTAAATATAATATTAATTTCAAAAAAATTTAATTACGATATATTATAATATCACAATACTTAAAAAAGCTAAATCACTGAAATAATAATATAACATGATGGTTTAAAACGTTTATATCGCAAATACTGCTAAATAAGTAGTTTCGAAATTTTTCACATTTGCAATTAAATACATGCATATGCATGAAATTAGGTGTTCCAAAGATTTTTATTAAGCACAATATTTAAAACTTATGGTAAATCTTATTAATATTGTAATATGTACATAATATGTATATAACATTATTAATATGTACGAAGTTGAAATTGGCGTTATTTATATGGATAATAACTATAGGTGGTTTCGACAGTTTTTAAGGGTGGCAAAAAACAACAAGTTACTCGCTTAAAGTTGCTAAAATATACACAAAACAACAACTTTACTTTAGTTGTGAAGTGGCCAAACATTTCAGCAACTACAAAAAAAAAATGTTCCCAACTCAATAAGCGAACTATTGCGAAGCATAATTGGAAATTTCAACGAATATTCCAATAAAAGATTGTAAACAAAAACTTAAGTAAAATTAAAAAGTTTCACAAATTTAAATATATTGAAAAAAAAAAAATATTTTAAAAAAATGCGAATTGTGAATAATAAATATTTTAAATGTATATAAAAATTTTTAGGAGTACTTGAAAAAAGTATAATTATAAAGCGGTTTAAAATTTTTAACTTATTAGTTGCTAACAAATTTATACTTATCAAGGCATAAATATTCTAAACTATTATTAAAATTGTTGTAAAAAAAAATTTCAAAGTTTCCTACATTCTGAACATTGCTTTTAGTTCATTATTCATTTTAATTTTTAATTTTATCTTTATTTATTTTTATACAAAGTGTAACATGCTTGTATTAAGGCGCATTCACACCAAAGCTAACGCTTGCGAACGAACGAACTTTTGCACATACGATTACCTACGAATGTTTGTTCGTTCGCAAGCGTTCGCTTTGGTGTGGATGCACCTTTATTGTTAACAAAACTAGTAACATAAGTAACATCTAACTTCAGTTAAATTTATTTTGCTACCTCAATTTAATATGTTTAGTAATATTCATTTATATATATAATTTTATCATATCCTCTTCCATTTCTCTTTAGTGTATATGAATTCAATAATATTTACTTTAACATTTGAAAGTCATTGTATAGAAAGCGAAGTGTGTTTTGTTGTGGATATTCAACACAAATTAATTGTCAATTATATCAGCTGCTGCTTTGACAGTTTGTAATATAAAGATTTTTATTCAATGGTGCAATAGTAAAGAATTTTCGTCTATAAATGTATTTAAATTTTTTGTCTAAAATGGTAATATAAACAACTTTTGGCTGCGAAAAAAAGATAAAATGTAACAGATATTCAGACGAACAAAATTGATTCTTTAGTAAATAAGGCTTTAAAGCACCGAAAACAATTTTTTAGGCTGCTTAAAACAAAGTAAGTGATTGTTGAAGAGGGGGAGGCTGAAAATTGCGAATTTTTTTTATACATTTTTTTTTTTTGAAACGAAAATTCTCATAATAAGTTAATAATTGTGCTCAAAATACTTAAATAAGAAAATATTTTTCTACTAACAGTAATTTAGCATAAAATTGAAGCTTTTTTTCTTAATTTTTTTACAGTTGCTTAATTTTTTATTTTGGTTAACGTAAAAAAAGTGAAAGTATTTTCAACCCTAAGAAAACCCCTACCACTGTTGCCGTCGATCAACTAAACGACCGCACCCCACCACAACGTAGGGTTATAGATTAACACAATGAGTTCACTGCTCCAGCAGTTAAACATATTCGAGCTTCGTCCGCTGGTAACAAACTTTAACTGTAAATTATCAACAATCACCGATTACGATGCACGTAAACAAATGCTCTGCTTGGTGTCGGAGGAGAACGATGTTGTCTTGCGTTATACCAGCGAAGGAGGACAGGAGGTGCTGAAATTAATTTCTTGGTTCCGTCGCACAAATCGTGTTATACATGATGTTTGCTTTGATCCTTCCGGAACATGGCTACTGGTACTATGTAAGTAAATAATTGTTTTTTTTTCAGTACTTTTTTTTTGGTTTGTTTGTGCGTGCGGTGCACGTAGTGAGTGTAGTAAAATCGTAAATGGGGTGTTTGTTGTGATTAAGAGGGCGTGCGGCCTAAGGGCTACTTGCACTTAACGTACGTGTGAAAGTGCTTCTTCTTTTCATTTACTTGTTAATTTATTGATTTTGTTTCTTTTACTTTTACGTTTTTTGTTTGTACTTTTTTATTATCAGTTTATTTTGATCAATTGGTTTAAGGAAGTTAATAGTTGATGGGTTGAGGAAGTAGGGGTTGTGTGACATATGGTATGTGATACGTGCAAATCATAAATTTATTTTTTTCTACCTTTAATGAAGCAAAGTCTCTGAAGTGTTAGGTATCAATAAAAACGGCTTTGAGGCGGTGTGCGAATATTTTTGAAGTCAGATTTATATATATTTATATATGTGAATTCAAAAAAAATATCATTAGGATGGTTACAGTTAAAAACATATAGTGTAAAAAATAACTTCTCACAGTATCAATTATATCAATTGTCTAATCAATGCAAACTGCCTCAAAATAGAGACCTTAAGTAAAAGTTAATTTAGATTCAAGAAAAATTTATTTTTTTCTAAATCTCGCATATATGAATATGTAACTTTATAAAAAATCTCCAGAGTTCAGACAAGCTAATTTGACTCTATTGAAAATTATGAAAAACGCTATAGTAACCGGCAGCTGCCTTAGTGGTTCCGTGAACAGTTGGTTTCAAAATCTCTCCACTATAGGGACTGAAAAGAGGGTTCTAAGGTAAAACAACAACACTTGCCTTATATACCTAGAATCTTCACATCATTATATTCAAATCAGTATAATTTTTTTTTTTAGCTTATTTTTTAACAAAAGTATTTTCTTCCGATTGGAAAATTTGATTTAATAACTCAATTTGTGGTTTAATAAAACCATGTATATTGAATATTCCTCTTCATATAGTAGAACAAAATGAAATATAAGAAGTATTCAAACAACTAGAAAGCATGATGAAATATAAAAAATTATAAGGATTAAATGAAATATAAGAAGTATTCAAATAACTAGAAAACATATACTATACAACTATAAATCACAACCAATCTTCTTTGGACTGAAGTGGCCAAGTTTCTCCGTCCTGATTCTGGTTAACTTTAATTTAAATTCCATCATTCTCCTAACTTATTCTCACTCCTAAATTCTCACAATGCCAATAATTGCCTATTCACATCCTAACCCATGTATTCATCTCTCTAATACCTTTCATGTTATTTGATTTATAGATACTTACCGGTTGCAATGAAAACCAAATCTTTATTTAGTGATCCAGAATCTATTTTTTTTTGTGCTCCATTGCATGTATCCTACAGAATATAGAAAACTTTCTGGGTATAGATTTGAGCAGATATCATTATCAGATAGCTGAGATAGAATTACAACAGATCTTAGAAGCACATTTATATATGTAGTAAAGAGCAGGCGATTGTAGATGTTGGGTAGTGTATCCAAGCACAGAACTAATCACTCTTTGGAACAACTTACTACTCATTTGTCTATCGTTCATTACAGTACTTTTCTCTGTGAAAATCTTTGTAAGTTTCTTTCGAAACTTTTTTTTTGAGTTATTCTGTTATGTTGTATAGTCCTTGCTATAACCATAATCCAAATGAAAGAGGTGAGTGATACTTATCAGTCTGAAAAGACGATTGGTAATAAAATATTCATCGGTCGCTCCTGGAACGTTGTATGCAAGTAAATGTGTTTAACTTTGATTATAAATTGATATGTCATACTTTGAAACGAATTTTGATTGAACTGAATTAATTGAATTACTTTGCTTCAACTAATAATCCTACATATAATTTTAAAAAATCTATCCCTTCTTAAGGTTTTGACAATACATTACATATTGTGCCCGCCTTGGCAGTAGTTGATAAGACATATTTGGATGCTTCAAACTCTTACCAGCCGCAACCATATAGCCATACTCAGGTTACATCATATATAATACCATTTGTAGGGCCACACGAATGTCCAAATTCGAAGAAATGTCCAAATCGTACTAATATCATCAATACTGAAAATGTGAATAAACAACAAATTGTAGCTACAACATCACCTACAGAAGTCTTAAGTAATAAATCTCCAACACCTGATCAAGAAAATAAAGACACTTCGGAAGAAACAAAAGAATCAACGACGGCGGAGAATGAATATGAGATTGCATTAAAATCACTTGATGATTTTAATATAGTGACACTTCCAGCACCAGAAGAGCATAAATTAGAAGCTTTTAGTCATGATATGCCCACACATATGCTAGCATCGAATGCAACACCTTATCAAAATGAGGATACCACAGGCAATAGTCATGTAATGGCTACATCTTTCATGGCTTCGAAAACTTGCCCTTATCCTTTATCTGTAGTGTGGTGGCAAACAATTGATGGCATGAATCGTGCTATAATTGGTTACTCGGACGGTTCAATTTGTTTTGTTGGTCTTAGCCCTAATTGTCCATTTGTGGCAAGTACCACAATACAAACTGGTTCTGTGGTAAAATTACTGATATGTAAAGACATCACATTTGAAAGTGTCATGTTGTTGGTATGTTGGGTTGATAATATATTTTTTACAGTTAAGTTTTTAATTGGCATTAAATTATTTATAGATCACTTCATCACTAAAGCAACAGTTCAAGCTTTTATTGGAACAGAAAACTATTAAATACATATATCCCGGTGATTCCTCTCCATCAGCTAATCAATCTCGTGAGAATGATTGGCAAATTGTTATGCCTTTGAAAACTAACAGCAATTGTTCAGATCCAGCCTCAGATAGTAGTCAACTTGACGAAGATGTTTTTATAAAAAATGATGATCTACCAAATATGGCTACAGGTACTAGTGTAGTTTCAACAACGGTGCCGGCAAATACTACAGCTTTAAATTTGAGTAAAAATAATAATGCAGGTAGTAACATACATACCTATACAAGCAGCTCTCAGCTACCACCACCCCCACCATACTCAGTTGCTATTAATCGTCATGTTGAAAGTGCACCACTGGCAACAGGTGCAAGCATGTCATATTCCACGTCAACTACATCAAGTGGAGTACGCTTTCAGCAACAAATACAGCAGCTACCTGACTTGGATGACATAAACGGTCGTGCTGGCATTTTGCCAGCCGCCCGGGCGCGTTTGGCGTCACTCAAAAGTTTGGGATCCAAAAAATTAAATGCAATAAAAATGCGTCTATCTGATAATCGACAAAAGCTTGAAGAATGTAAGTTAGCTATGGCAATCATATATATCATATATGCTTATATATTGAATGGTGGTGTATGAGTTTTGGCAATCACATAAAGAGAAAAGGGGGATTGAATATCTCACGCTCTATGTAGAAAATTTACACACCGCTGTTCTTGTATTTAAAAATATTTATTTATGCAATTAATATTTGTAGCACATATATTCTATTTTTCTAAAATCTATTTATATATTTTTTTGCTTAAAAACCTTTTCCTTTTTTAATTTCTCAGTTATAAAAATTATTGTAATTTTATTATATAGATTGCGTGAGAAACGTGGTGAGTTTAGTTTTTAATTACTATTGCAGTTCTGCTTAAATTCACATTAGCAAATATAGTAAACAAAACATACTGCAGTTATTCTCACCATGATCTTCACATACCTATTTAGTTACTTTAGACTATTTAGACTTGTTTTATATTGGATTTACATTTTATTATTATCTTTTTTCAGATATACCTGAAAATACTATTGGTTCCTTTGCCATTATGGACTCGCCGTCTCTAAAGCCCGAAATATTAGGCAACTCTATTGGTTCCTTTTATACTATACAAAACTTGCGTAGTACTTACTTGCTTAGTGCTTTACATTGTCAATCGAATAGGCTATCAGTCCATAGCATTGATATAAATCTTAAACCTTTGTTTTTATATAAAATACCTAAGAATTGCTTTGATATATTGATAAGCTCAAACATATTATATTCGATACAGTATGTGGATATAAAAGGCGATGAACTACTAATGGCAAAGGATGATAATACGGAGAAAGAAAATCGGGATACTGAAATTGAGAAAGAGGAGAAATATGCAGATGAAAAACTTCAACATAATAATGAATCAAGTGATATCTGTGAGAAAGTTGCAGAAGAAAGTAGTAGTAAAGAAAGTGTAGATACAAGTGCAACTACTAGTGTGCCGTCCACATATGATTGTATGTCACCAAGCAATTCCATTAATTCTGTAGGTGTTATAAGTAGTGCAATGGCTTCGCTGCGTACTGGTGATGAAGACGTGAGTATTTAAATAATAATCTGTTTAAATTTACTTGATGTAATTTACTTGATGATGTGATGATATGATGATGTATTTGTTTTTATTCTCATTTCTATAGAAATATAACACAGCAGCTACATTGGCTATGTTTCGTTTCGAGCATGAAACTGTCTTAAACCTCTATCAAATGGCTACTTATCGTACTAACGAGTTGAATGAAATAATTTCCAAAGAAGAAAAAGCGAAAGCTTTCGATTATAAGGACATACGATCACCTATGGATTATGTAAATTTTTATGAAACGGCGGATATTATAGAGGAATACTCGTTGCGACAAATGGAGATCATGCAAACTGAATTTCCGAAAATCAATTACGATCCTTGTTACGTAGTGACAAACAAAAATGTTTATTATATACAATTAAAGTAAGATAAAGACTAAATACTAAATACTAAGATTAATACAAATACCGTAATACTTATTTATTTGTTTTTATAATATAGAAAAGAACCTTTTGCCATATTTTTGGACGCTGCCTTGGCTAACGAATGGATGCAATGTCGTGAATTTTGTAATACCTTTGATCTTACGTACGAAACATGCATAGAGTTCGCTGGTGATTATTTGCTACGTCGTAAACGCGTCACACAGGCATTAGTTACTTACAATAATGCACGCATCAAACCAATACGTACCGCACTAAAATTAGCTATGTTTGGACAAACTAACGCACTAATGCATTTATGCGCAATGGCACTTAAAGCAACATATTTGCTTAAGGGCACACATTTTTGTACTGCAGTTATTAAAGGCATATTGTCAGATATTACATATCGCCACTCTGAGGATGTGCGCAAAGTTTTGCCAACAGACGTTTCTAATAAAGCGGGAAGCAAAACAATTGTTAATGAGGGTGCACTATGCAGTAATTATGTTTATGGAGTTGACGAATCGATTAGTAATTTGCAGATGTCGCCTTCATCACAATTTCATTTAGCGAATTTACTATTGATTACCTTAGCGGAAAAAGCTGTGAATGACAAGAATTATTTACCACTTTGGTAAGTCAATAAATTGATTCTTTGTTGTATAAAATAAATAAGTGTAATGATAAATTATTTTTTAATTCGCAGGAACTTTATTGTCACGAATAATAAATATCACGCTAACATGACGAGCATTGTGCTGTGTCAAAGTGGGCTTTACTCTTCAGCTTTGCTATTGGCGAAAACCCGTGGTGTTTGTATAGATACATTTTTAGCTCTAACAAGTGTTGTTGGACAAGAGTTTGGTAATTACGTGCAATAAATTTTTAACATTTGAAACTATCTGTATATTTAACTTAGGTTGGTACACAGAGTTAAATGTGTGTCTCTACAATTTGAGTGAAGATATTTTTACTGAAACTATTACTTATATGCCGCAAATATCTGTTGACTACTTTCTATTTTTACAAGAGAAGTTAAAAAACATACGAACGAGTGTTTTAAAGGTAAGCTAAATTTATAAAAAAAAAACCTAATGTAAATGACTAAATAAATAAATAAATTTAATGTATTCTATATTTTTTAGCGTTTGCAACAGCAATTGAATCCTTTCTCGGCCATCTTGCGCCCAGTTGTGTCACATACCTCTACACACATGGGTCACATACTTAATGACAATAATACATATTTATTTGAATTTTGTAAAAATTTAATTGAAACATATATAGCTGTTCTTATACATATTGAATCTCAACGTTCTAAAACTGATCATATTACCAATGCGTTGTCAACGTTTCGCTTGAATTATGAAGACAATCAGGTAAGTTAAAGATGATTTTTAAAATAAAATGCATTTATATGACATTTTCGTATTAAATAGTTTGCCATCGAAAGCTCAAGATTTAAACCGATATCCGCCGGCTGTGCACATTGTGCATGCATTGTGGACGGTATTGCCTATTTCTGGGGTTCAAATGGTGTGCCTTGTAATTATAATGTTAACAAGTCTTCCGGTAATAAATTACTATAATTTCTCCTTTAATAATAGTAAAATGTCTTTTTTTATCATATATTATTCTAACAGACCCACCGGATCCACCACATGCAGTTAAGAGTTTAGATTTACTTTCGCAGTTGAACTTAGAAGTTCACGCCGTCAAATGTGGTAGACAACACACTTTAGTTTTAACAAATAATGGGGTAAATGATTGAGTAATTTTAATCATAATACATTATAAGCATTAATTTTTCATAGCTATATACATTTGGCAATAATAATTATTCACAATTGGGAATTGGCAATGGAATGCAAATGTCTTTGCAACCTATGTTAGTGAAAAAGTTCGATGGAAAGAATATAACTATATTAGAGGCTGGACAATATCATAATGCTGCTGTAGCCGATGGTCTTCTATATACATGGGGGTAAGTTTGTCAATAATAAAAAATAAATATTGCAAACACAAATGCTTAGTTATATTATTTTTAAAATACAAATGTTTAATTTTATATTTTATCGTAATAAGCAATAATAACAGTATTTTTAATATTATTTTTAAGGTGGGGTATTTATGGACAGCTTGGTCATGGGGACACCGAAAATATTGCCGTTCCAAAAATTGTTTCTTTTTTCAAATATAAGGTAAGACGAATTTACATTGTGTATTTTTTTTATAAAAACAATTAACAAATAATGTATTTTCTTGATAAATTTAACAGAAAGTTGTACAAGTTTCATTGGGACATGCACATACTTTGGTTTTATGTCAAGCTCAGCAACGAGAAATCGAAAATCAATGCAATGAACTGTACGTGTTCGGCTCAAACCATTTCGGTCAACTAGGGCTAGGCGCACAAATAGGTGATAATGCTAATCCAGCTGCCGATGATGATTTAAATTGTGCAACTCAAGTTAAAAGCTTAATTCCTATTAAGTTGGACATAAGCGATGCAAAAATAAGACTGATACACACCAAATTTTTTACAAATGTAATTTATCTGATATCTATATCTAATATTTTTAAAATGAAATAAGATAAATTAATAATATAATGTATTTACAGTTAGCTGTTGATGAAAATAACCGTATGTTTACATGGGGCTCATCTCCGCAAGCTTTACGTTTAGCAAATCAGATAAAGCGTCGTGCTAACGCTAAGCAAAAACTTGAAGAGAATCAAAGACGTGAGATTAGCAAACGTTTTGAAGCGACACTTAGTACTAACAGCGGTTGTATACTATTAACCAAACCTACGGAAACTGTTGTGCCTGTAACGGTACCAACGACAACAAATATTGATACAATAACAACAGTTTCAAAGAATACAGCTACAATAGACGCTGAAGACATAAGCAATAAAGAAGTTTGTATTAGTGATAAAGCAGAGAATACTGCTAGTAATACTACTACTACATCAACGATCCTTTCAACTGCTGTCAAGGCATTGGAAGAGGAATTCAGTGAAATTGTTCCAACAAGGGTTCATGATAATAATACGTTGAAAGAACATTGTGTTGCAGAATCTACACCGCATATTTCAGATGCTCCAGAAAGTGATGCAACCATTAGTATAGAAATTATAAGTGAAGATGTTGAGGAGTTTGAGCAAGCAACTACGTCACCACTTAAAGAACCATTCAATGTTACAGTTAAGGAGCAGGAAGAAGTGCCCGAGGATAGTAGAATAAATACGCCTCCACAAAAACAACAATCTACGGAAAATGATCCTTGTGAGCATATGTCACCACATCTTGTCGATACCTCAGAAGTTGCTGGCGAAATTTTACAGGTTGGGTCATCCAATTTATTTATATGTATGGTTTTTTGTGCTAATGTAATTTATTGTTTAGATTTCAAGTGGTCTATTTCACTTTGCATTGATCTCGTCTACATGTACATTATATACTTGGGGCAAAAACCTTGAACATCAGTTAGGTACAGAAGATAAGGAACGTCGCACTGTAATTAAACCGTTGCCGGTAGATAGCATAGAAAGTCCTATGTATGTCGATTGTGGTGCGGATTTTACTGTTGTTATGACCACAGAACATATAGTAAAAGCCTTTGGAGGCAACTCAAATGGACAGGTATTCAATAGTATTTGTTTAATTATGATTTCAAATTTAACGAATATATTTTGTATTTAGTGTGGCAGAGATCTAGGTACGGCTATTGATAGAGTGAAACAGCGTGTTGTTTGTTTACCTACTACAAAGCGTTTGATGCGTTTCGAAAGTCAGTGTGTAGAAGTACCAGTAGAAATAAACTTGCCACGACCGCGTATACGGCTTGATACAGAGCCCGTACGTTATTTAAAAAGTATACCAGATTTCCAACCGCATTTTGTTCAAGAAGCTGACATTAATATTGACGATGCCACTTTCGAACAACCATCACCTTCCGATCAATATAAATCCACCACGCAAGCAGACAGCAGCGAAAAAGTCGCTTCAGGGCAAGATTCAGAAGATTTGATCTCAAGTCTAGAAAACATAAGCAATAACGATGTTTCCTCAGCAAATTTTTCAAACAATGCTTCACCAGTAGCTGTAGTAGAGAACGAGCAAAGTGGTTCATATGACTTTACACCAGAAGAACAAAGTTATGCCCGTTTGGCTACAACAGAATATGCAGATCAGAGTATGGCTGCTGTGCAACAGTTAGAAAACGAAGTTGCAGCCAATGCAGCAACTGGTGTTCGTACAGCACAAGATTCTGTTGCAACGGAAACAGATGGCAGTGAATTACAATTGTTGAGGAATTATATACATTATTGTTTGTATGTTTTCCACGGTCTCTACAATCCAGATAAAGTACGAGACTTTGCAAAAGAGAGACGTGAATATCGTGTGCGGACTTGTATGCTTAACTTCAAATTTGTGGATGCTTTCGTTTTATGTCTACAAGATTGTGACACAGCAAATAAATCACTTAAAATCTTTGAGTACTTCACCAAGGATACCAGTTTTGTACCCATGCACCGCCAAGATCTAAAATATCTTGTGTATTATTTAATGTTGCACTTCTTGGAACGCAAATTTGATATGTTACAATGCGAACGTTTCTTCTTAGCTGATTTGGATTTTTATCTACTTGAGCTTGCTTATGTTCTATACTTCAATAATAACAATACTGTACTTGAACAAACGCTTAACCAAAAACTGAAATACTTAATAGCACAGGAGCAAAGCGATGCTAATAAAATGAAGAATCAAAACAATGAGCAAACCCACAAGCTGGAATACACCGATGCATTGTTCGATAGTTTATCAGTAAAGTTCAAAACAATAATTTGCCAGAGGCTCGTAAAGTACTGCGAAAGTAATATCTGTTAAATATTTCATGTTTTATGTTACTTAAAATACGTTAACTTATTTATAATTATTTAAGCATAAACATACAATAAACATACAATTTTAGTTCAAAATTATAGAATTTAAAAAATAAAATCCATTATCAAACATTTTAGTTTAATTCTTGTAAAATCTGCAATCGTTTTACATATATTTACAATTATTTATTTATTTTATGTTTTTCAATAATTTATAATTCATGTTCTTTCGTTTCTTAGTTATTTATATGTAATTTTTATTTAATATATTTTATTTAGTTTTTTACGTAAAAATATTATTAATTTTACATTAAGTTTAATTTATACGTTTTTTCACACTGTATCTGTATTTTCAAAATATTTAAACCAAAAAATTTTAAATTTTATAATATTTGCAGCAAATACTAAGTAAAAGGCAACAGGCAACAGAATATAAAGTGGCCTGAATAGTAGTGTGAAAAATGAAAATTATTTATGTATAGACTTGAAGAAAGCTCTTAAAATGTTCTTGACTTATTTATTAGTTAATGTAATTTAATTACTCAAATAAATTTTAAAATATGCTTAAATAGTATTTATGGGCGAAACAAATTTTTAAAAAATAATGTCTGTCGAGCCTCAAAGTTCAATTGATTTTATACTCATATTTTAATATATTTATATAAATTCACGATATAAACACTTGCATATACACACAAACATCAGAAAGCTTTATTTGAATAGCAATTTTTATAGATATAATTAAGTATGTTTTATTTAATTGTTATTGAAGTTTAAAATATATTTTAGAAACAACACGCTTTATTCTTTTTTAAATTGAAATCATTAGGAAATTTACATGCAATTATCGATATATGCTATAAAAAATAAATAACACATTTTATTTGCTAATCAAAGTTATATAAAAAGGGATATGACAAAATGCTTTAATTTTTAATTATATATACGGTTCGTTTAAAAAAAAGTCATATTCTTAGTTGTTTTTGTACATTTATAGCTTGTGATCTTATATTGGTTATTGAGACTACAAAAAATCTATACTTATATCAATAAATAATAAAAGAATGTATACAAAAAAAAGTTTTTCTATAAAGCAATTATATTAAATAAAGAATTGTTTCCAATTTGAAAATGTTAAAAAACTATTTGAAATTAGTTTTAAGTTTACTTAATATTTTACAATACCCTCTCTAGCTAACAGATCGTCTACCGATAATATTCCAACACTTGTTAAATAGTTAGATACGACACTATAGGTCAAATTTTAAGCAGAAAGGATATTTTTGATTTTATACAAGACTATTATTTTTTGATTCCTCTCAATATGAAAACAGACAGAACTTCCTTTTCGGGGTCCTCTCTTTGAGACGTCATTTTTAGTTCACAATTTTAGAACTAAATCGTAGGAAATTAAATCTCTAAGCCAGCAATATATATGATTGAACATTATCGATTGTTTGAATAAAAGTAGTAGTACTTTGTGAGTTTAGTGGACGGGCATTTGGTTGGACTCGGGGTGCAAGGGATCAGCATACATATATCGTAAATAAAAATGTTGGTAGCACATTAAAATAATTTCAATCTCTTTTCTAAAAACTATTTATAAAAGTTTTGTGACAAAAGTACTGTATAACCCAAAAAACTAATACTGTAATTATTGCATACTCTTTGGAAAAGTGCTCTGTAATAAAGCGTAATATAGCATTTATTATATATTTTCTGGCATTATATATATTTATGAGTCATCTTAACTCGATCAGTGCCTATCTGTCGCTAGTTACTAGTACCGGAAGCTTTCACATAAGTTTACCAACTGGTCGTTTCACCAAAGATTCGGACGTCCTTTACCGCGTTTTGCACTAGCGGGTACCAAATTAAACATTTCTCTATCCGAAGCATTATCTTTCATACCTACGACATGACCAAGCCAGCGTACCCGCTGAATTTTTATTTCCTTAACTATGTCAATGTCGCCGTATATTTTATATAGCTCATTGTTGCATTTCATTCCATAATCGTTAATAGCGCGTAAGGAAGCATAGATCGTTCGATGAATATATTTTTATGTGTATTTGTTGTGGTTGTTATTAAATCTTACATAATTATTATAAGTACAGTACAGTAAGTACAGTAAGAAACTTATATCGGAATATTTTTAAAAAAAGTTCATTCGACCTGGTTACTAGACATTTATTAATATTAAAAATGATCAATTATTTGCCTAGAATTTCACTTCAAAATTTTTTTTCTTTCATATTGAAATGCACAATGCACGAATTTAAAAACTAAAAATTTTTTTCCAATTCCATAATTATGTACATCAGACGCCTCGGATAGCTTTCTCATCTAATTTTTCTTACGGACAATTGGTGACTGCTGGCTTTTAAACTTAAATCTAGGATTGTCAGGGATAGGGCACAACCTATTCTGATTATCATAAAATTGGCCATTCAACGAAAATCTACGAGGTAGGGGATTTCTGCTCCTAAAAATAGTAATTATAATAAGTACACATGTTAACAAATTTTAATACTAACTTATTTAGGATCTCTCTGTACAGCTGAAAACGTGCAGTTGGTGGTGGTTTTGTACACAGGTATGCATTCCAATGTTCTGAGAGAAGTGCATTACGTCTTAAGGACAAACGCATATTTACAATATCATCGTTGAATGACATCAATGGAGTGATAGTATAAGGCGGTATAACATAGTTAGGATAGTCCCTCACATCCTTTTTTTTAGGCTGCGATTTTTCGTCAGAGACATCTGCAGTAGAAGGCAGAACAATTTCTTGTGCTGTTTCCATAACGGGCTCAATGTATCGTTTATACATTTTAAAAAGATTTAATTTTTTCTTTAGTTATAAATGTGAAACGAAATATAAAGTTTTATTTAACGTATGTTATTTGTTAAAGATTGATATATTTTTTGTTTTCAATTTAGAAAATCTGAAAACAAATCAATTTGCTTTGCTGTGTTTCAAAATATAAAACAAGTAAAGTTTAATGTAATGAGAAATTTTTGTATTTTTTGTTCTTATGCTACGCACATACTAAAAATATTTAAATACTTATACACTATTGTAATATTTACAAAAACTTCTTGATATATTTACTATATGAATTGACAGCCACTTATTAAAAAGATTAAAGTTTCAGTTTAATATTGTCAGTTGACCAGCGTTTAGTTTGTAAGCTTTTTATTGCCCTATCACAGTAAAATTGTTCCTCGCTACGTTCAGGTAATGAATCTTTTAATTGTGTAAGTTGGTTTATATCCTTTAACCCAATCATGGCATCAATAGCAGCTTTAGTACACTTAACACGTTGTGCTAATTCCAGCTTTTCCGTTGAGCTACTTATTTTTGATAAAAATAAATATAAAACACTCGAAGGTGCCTTCAATTCAAATAGACGTACAATTGCTGCATCCAGGGGAAAGCTTATGTGGAATTGTTTTTGTTTTATAGGATTCCATGTGGGTAGGCGTTCAAAAACACTTTCTAAATCACCATAAGCTTGTGATATTGCACGTTCGTTTAAAGCAGTCCACTCGAATTGTGATGCGGAAATTTGTTGTTCTGCGCTAATGCGAAAAGGCGACAGGACAGAAATTAAATCTTGTTCTTTCCAATTGTTATATTTTTGGCAACATGCGTATAACACTTCAACTGGTGTGGAGTCCATATGCACTAAATTGTCTAGAGAATTACGCTCTTTTTCTATTAGTTCAAGTAACTTCAACGTAGCATGGAATATTTGTTGAAATAAACTGTTGGAACCAGCACTGTTGTTCCGTGCTAACTGCTGTAAATATTGTTTCCGTACTTGCAGCTCATTGGATGTGTAAACGCTTTTGAATTTTAGTAATGTAGCTTCTTGTTGTTTGCCGAAAGTTTCTAACAAAGTAACTGCTTCTTTTGGATTACTTTGCTTAAGGTAGCTGATATATTGCTGCAACACTTTCGGTCGATGTTGCAGGATTGCATGAAAATGTTTCGTATTCAGCGTTTTCTTTAAAAATAAAACTACACCAATTACTGCATCACCACCACCGTTGCTTAACACATTATCTAATAACTCTTCTTTTTCATGCATAGACTTAAATACCTCCAGCGGCACTGTTTTACCCAAGAGCAGTCTAGAAGCTGTTGTTTCCGGTGATGGATTAAAAAGCGTTGTTTGAATTTGTCTATATGAAAAGCGTTTTGAACATCGAAACAATATTAATTATACACATTATTACTAACCTTCTCAATAATTTCAGTTCTTCATCTGGGCTCACACCTTTTGTTATGAGGCGATCATCTAAAGTTTGCTCCTGCAAAATTAATTCCAATGCATCGTCAGAAATAACTGATTTAATAGATAAATTTAGGCTTGTAGCGGCGGTACTATTATCGAAGCTTGCTTCGGAGATATCATCGCTCAGAATGTTGCTAGGGTTCCATTTGTTAGAACTCGTTGAGGTACCGTAAAACCCATTACTGGCATCATCGTCATCAAAGCTAAATGCTTTTCTGGTTGATACATTCCAGTAATTTTCACTATCTAGTTGACTCTCCATAAAAAATCTTGTTTCGCTTACGATAAACAAATATTTAGTGCAATTATTTTTATATACTTTTCCAAATTATTTTATTTTACATGCAAAATAACTATGTACGCATGCCAATTTTTAATCAAATAAACAGTTTCTGACTGCTTATTATATAAAAATGAACTGTTCAACGTATAAATCACACTACCATATTTATGTTATTTTATTTAAATGAAACACAATATTTTACAAATTTATTTTGTATAATTATAGCTTATGAATGGCTTTTGTTATGACACTTCAAAACTTGTTGCTCAGCTGTCAAACACTGATTGCATACTTCGCTTGCTGTGGATGTATTATTTGACTAATGTGAAACATAACGAATATTCAAATATTTTGTGTAACTTTGTTTATAGAGGAAATAACTGTTTGGTAACATCAACAGACTTTGCAAGTTTCAGCCTTGTGTGGGTAATTTTTTATTCTTCAAAATAAATCTTTATGAATTAATGCTGCCGCTTTATATTCGGCCGATGTATTTTGATAATAAGAAATAAAGTTGATTAAGTGAAAGTAAAAACTCTTTGCAATAACAATAAAATACAGGATTGTAACGAAACAATTATGAAACAAAAAGGTGTTTTGACATCTTTTGCTTCTCATATGGATGCAATTTTAGTATAGCATTCTTGTATTTCGTGCGCATTGCAAGACAGAGTGAATACCTTTAATGTTTTAGTTTAATAATAATGAAGGAAAGAATACGGTCTCAGAAGATATAATCACCTGAGTAGTTTTAGAAATGCAATCTTAGGTTGCGACATTGAACAATTTATGAAGATTCGGTTCTGTTTCTGTTCAAATTGGTTAATGCTAAATTACGACCAAATATATATCTCTTTTATTTATTTTTCCACTACAATTTTTTTCTTTATCCATACGATCAGAGTATGGAAATCGTTTTCATGTGCAACCAGAAACACAAGTAGAGTAGGAGCTTTCGACAAACTGCTGATTAATGAATAATCTTGACATCATCCGTTCTACTATTATTATAGTTTTTGTGACTTTATATGAAATGAAAGAGTTAACTCTTAAGAATATTTGTTTTTTTACAATATTTTTAAAATGTTCTATAGAAAATTCCTTTTCGCAAACCAATTGTTCATAATTATTGTGTCCTATAATACAAGTCTATGTTTTATATCTGCTTTTCATATGTTTAAATAATTTTTTAACGCTGTCAGAATGATGTTCTTAATTAAAACACCGTGTTCCAGAAATCTGTGAGAATTATATCGTTTGTGTAAACAATTATAAAACGTTTTTCAAATTATCATTTATAAAACGAAACTGTGATAATATCATAAGACGAAATGTTTACAAAAACTGTTTTAATTCTTATTAATTTAACTATGATTGTAAAGGCTAAAATGTATTGATAAATTTTTATTAAAATAAATAATGAAAGCATTTATGAAAGTGTATATAAAAAATACAAACAAAATATATATTTTTATGTTTAGCACCTCGAATTATATTGCACATCTTTATTTTTTTTTTGGACTCATCCTCGGAAACTTTTCTGTAATTTTGGGCAAATACGGAACAGGGCATGGTCTATTCATAGAATCGTAAAACTGTCCGTTCAAGGAATACTTACGAGGATTTGGTTTATTATCACTAAATAACAAAAGTAATAAATACAATATGCAAATAGTTATAAAGTTTTTAAAATTGATACTTACTCCCGTATTGTTTCTCTATATAATTGAAATTTTGCATCACCGTGCCGTACGGAACTCAAGTACGTATTATAATGTTCTCTTAGAGGGGGATTACGCCTTAGAGAAACAAGGTTATTTTCGCGTTCCTCATTGTAGGACATCAAAGGAGTTATGAAATAAGGTGGTACAATATAATTCGGTGTCTTCTTATGCTCTCTATTAGTTAATATTGTTATACCGGTTTTTTCGCTGTTTATATTATCAGAGGCGTGAGGAACATCTATTTCTTGTGGTTCTTCTATATTTGCTTCGACAAATTGTTTATCCATACTTATTTAGATAAGTATATAAGACACTCTAAATAAAATCTTATAAGTGGATATTTCGATGTTTGTTATAAACGCATTCAAAACATATACTTGCCGGTTTTTATATATAATAATTTTAAAATAAATATTATTAAATAAAATTTAATTTATTACCGAGTAACTAAACTTAGCTTACTCTGTTTCAGTTTTAAGATTTTCGAATATGAAATTTATGTATGTATATATGTATACATATAAAACTAGCAGTATTCTGTGTGCGTTGCTACTATTTACAGAAACCAAATAATTTTATTTGAAAATTTATAAAGTGGCTTATTTATCGATTTAGTAAATCCATAACCCGGGTTATTTTGTTGTATGCAAAAAGTTAAGTTTTTTGTTGTGTTGCAAACTAGGAATAACAAAATCACGGATTGACCGTGTGATATATTTTTGGTCATTGGGAATTGAAGACGCACAGGATACTGCAGTCGCTTCACAAAATGGCATGTGTTTGGGAGGTATTGGAAGAGATGGTATCAGAACAATATCTTGTTTCGGTTTTTCATTTAGAATTGTAGCTTTAATCACATTTGCCATCAATTTCCTGACACTTGTTTAGTTTCGTTGCACACTTATCCTTTGGGTTGATGAATGTTGCGCAGAAATATAATTGGCAATCAAACTTCTAGTGATGATATGGGAGGTAGAATTCTATTAGATAGAGCTGCTGAATGTATTTTATTATGGACAGGCATTTTTATTATTTTTATTTCGCATGTGTGTAGAAATTTTGCTAAACCAAAATCTTTTAAATTGTAATAGAATGGGACTTCGGTTAAATGTTTACCCAATGGCAATTTAACTGCGGAGTACGGTAACCGTCAATAAATGACACAATGTTTTCAGAAAAGTTTTTAGTTTATCACCTGGCATTTTCCTATTTAAATATTACTGAAAGACTCAGTTAAAAGTCGCCCGCTATAGAATAAGAGGTCCACCGAATGGAAAAATAATTGAACTCAGTATAACACAAGTTAAGTCGAACTTTTAGGTATTAATAAAATAAGAGAGAGATACTGAGGATTTTAAAACGACTAAAAAAATACTTTTCTCATATTCTAGGATATTCAAAGCAGTACGATCCAATTAAATTGATCATAGAAGATAGAATAGAAGTGAAGCGCGGTTCCGGGAGGATAATATCGTTTGGTAGAATCACCTATTAGCTAACGTTTGAAACGAACAAGGCACTAAGAAGAAGTAGATTAAAATTCTGGGTATAATTAATTATACTCTCATAAGTTTGAAAAATAATTTAAAAATGTATGATAAAAATCAGAATCTCCAATATATTTTACTAATTCAAAATAAAAAGCATAAAATAACTTTTGAGGTTATTTATTTATTTTAATATTAAATTCAAAAATATGTTGTTTAATTATTTAAGCTGTACTATAATAAAATAAACTAAAATAATATTCTTTATAAATATATTCATATGAGAGATTATAATTATAAACAAATTTATTAAAATATCATCCGCTAATTAATTCAAACAATTTACTATAATTTTGCTTATATTAAAAATTATAAGGAATTAATGAATATTTTTGTTTATAATTAATAATATTTAATTAAGTGATTTTAATAATTAATAACTTATTTAGAGTTTTTATATAAAAAATATAATGGTTTTTAGTAAAAATAGTAAATTTTTATACACGAATTTTTCTATATACATAAGACCCATAAACCGATAATTAACGTTATAAATTATTTTAATAATACAAAAATTTTTAATTTAAAATTATTTTACATATTATTATAATATAATACAAATTTGTTATAATTTCACAAAACGTTATTTATTTATGTTTAATTAACATCAAAGCTAAAATGTATATATTACATTACGTTATTTCAAGTTTTAAAATATATTATTATAGTTATATGTGTGCTAATATTTTAAATGTGTGTATGCATATATGTATAATAAAAATGCATACATAAAAATATAATATATATACAGTACTTTTTCTTAAAATGAACCTATTTAAAGCAAACTTTTCGCCAAACCGAAACAAGTTAAACAGGATGTTTTAAAATTTTATTTATTATTTATTATTAGTCACTTAATACGAACCGATTATTATTAAAAAGGGATCGTGCATAGCGACCTAGACGATCTATTGTGCCCCATAAAAACCGATAGTTTGACTAAAAGTGAATTAAATAAATAAAAATAGTAGCATATAAAAGTACAAACAATAAATAAATGTTTTATATATGTTTTATTGAAAACGAATTGTTTTTCCGATCCCTTGAAGTTTGGTTTATGAGAGAAGTACTGTATATATATATATATTTAATTTACAAAGATTTACATATACATATATGTAAACGTATTACATATAATTGATACGTATTTTAAATATATATATTAATTCATTTGTATTTTTATATATTCAATATATTTATTTTAAAATATACATATTGTCTAAAGTATGCTTAATTTTATTAATATTTTATAAAAGCAAAAATTTAAATTATAAAACTGTTTTCGTGTTATACAGCTTACATGTGTAATGAGTGTAAACTACTAAAATTTAGTATTTAGAAAATAATTTTAACATACTAAAACTACGAGTATCTAAGCTAATATTGCTGGAGAGGCAATTCTCTATATAAATATTTAAAACTATTATTTTGTAATTTTTCAATTCTTAAAAGCATGAATATAATTATAAATACTTCCGTTACATAAAATCTACATCATTATTGCCAATTTATGCCCTAATCAAAGCAGAAAAGGGGACTCCATACAAACAAACTTAAATAAAATATTGTGACCTCTATTTAATATATATAAAAAATACATGTATATATGAGCATTTTTTTTATAAATCTACTAAAGCACCAAGTAATTATTGTTTTTCTCTTTAATGTGCGTAAAATATTAATTGCTGTTTTTAAAAAAATGTTTTTTTTTTATTTCTTTTAGTATATAAAATATATAGTTTATTATAAAAATAGTTTTTATTCGGGGTTCGATTAGGAAGAGTTATTGCATACACTTAAGTGTAATGAAAAATATTAAATAACTACTTAAGTTTGTGTTTCATTGTCGTCTGTTAATTTTGCTATAGATCCTGTTGCAGTAGTTAAGGTCGTATTAGTTGCTGCATCTGTTAAATCTGCAACGGTGGCAATGTTAGTTAGGGTAGGAACAGATACCAGTGTTGGTACCATGGCAGGCGCTACTCCTGCAGGCATTGTTGTGTTTGAAATAGCAGCCGCAGGTATTATAGTTGCTGCAACAACTGTTGTACCTTCCACTCCTGGCGCCGTACTTATAGTACGCGCCAATTTTAATTTTTGCCTTTCGAGACGTTCTTTTTCACGTGCAGCTTTCAATTTTTCAAAATCATCACCCTCATCTTGTTCGACAGCCGACACTATATCATTAACAGATTTAACATCCATATCTCCAACTAAAATATAAAGAGGACTCTGGTTAGTTTTCTAGTTTTAAATTTAAAATTATGTGAGGTTATAAAAACAAGCATGCAAAATTGGAATAACTAATTAGACAATTAAAAATCCATTCAAACTTTACTGAGAATACAAAAAAATTCGGTACAAAATACTTGGGGAAAATATATATATAAAGAAGTTATATAAAATTTATTTAATCATTTAAAATTATTACAATACTACTAATATTGTTTCTACTAAAATATGAATTTCGATAATATATTATATCATCTTCACATTTACATTGATTTATATTAAGTATAATATGTCATTTATATCCATCTATTTACTATTTAATAAATATTAAAAAATGCCATATATAATAAAATCTATAACATTGAGACTTTACTGATTATAATGTCAAACTATTGTAATTCTATTATAAACAGCAATGGTTCACAAAATAAAGAAATTGATACACCCTTATTTGTTATCTAGATATTACATCAAAAATTATATATTTAATTATCCTTCTTGTGAAGAGATGGGTGCGACGTAGTTGACCTATTATTATATACAAATCATTATATAGAACTAAGATTTATGTGTAATGATAAGCATATACGAATTCATAATAAAAGTTAAGATCGTAGTTAATCTGTTCAGGGTAATGAGAAGTTTTTCATCCTTTTCATTTCGCACAATCTATACACTTTATTATAAACTACCTCAAAATGTACAGGCACCTATAAAACCTCTTGAATCGTAGAGCACTAGGTTAATCCAAAACCCTGCCATGAACCCATATATATTGGGAACTTTATTTCAATTATAATGAAACATTGAGACTTTCTCCAGAAATAGCAAGCATATTAGATCTCATAAAGACAGACAACTTAATAGTTATTGTCTCAAATAATCTAATTAATCTATCTACCTATTTTATGTACTCTGTATGAGGATCATTGTGTTATAAAAGCATATCTGTAATAGTGATAAATTAATAAACTCTTACTCTTACTTATCAGATCTCATAAGTCGCAGTGTACTATTGACCTCACGGCTCAAAACCAGAAATTTACTTCAAAGAGGGCTTATAAGTCTTAAAACTGCCTCATATATTTTTTTCGATAAAAGTTTAATCGTATTATATGAATTAACTGCAATGTAGAAAAGCACTTATAACAAACACAATCAGTTTGTTGTGGCATTTACATTTCGATTTTTTCATATATTCTATAACAGAAAATGATCTGTAAACACTAGCTGTTTTCATTACTAGAATAGTCAACCTACAAGAAATTATCTCTCATCACTAAAAATAAGCTTCATTACTGCGTCAACATGACTGCTGTTTTTATTGCCAACAACAGCATTTTATAACCAATGTACTTATGTACATATGAATTATCAGTTACATTCAGAGAGATTCACCCCCACAAGTCATGTCTGTATAGTTTGTAAGGTCAATTCAGCGGGGGCTTCAGTTCTGCAGATTCTATATTGTTTTGAGTGTAATTATTAATATAATTCAACTATTAACTTAATGACACAATTGTAAGACTCATATAAAGAAAATTTTAAAGAAATAAATTTTAATTTTAATTAATTAGTTTTTTATATATATACCGGGCTTAGGTCGTTTATTTAACACATAGGTTTATAAAAATGTTTTTTTAAAACAATTAAAAAATTTTTACACTTTTTTTTTTTTTCCAACTGTGTTAAATGTTTAAATTTATTTAATTTTTATACAAAAATTATATTAATACAAATATTTTCGGTCTACATCGTAATTTTTTTAAATTAAAAAAAAAAAAAAAAAAAAAAAAAAAAAAAAAAAAAAAAAAAAAATAAAAATTAGCCGATGTGACCGAATATTTGTATTAATATAATTTTTGTATAAAAATTAAATAAATTTAAACATTTAACACAGTTGGAAAAAAAAAAAAAAGTGTAAAAATTTTTTAATTGTTTTAAAAAAACATTTTTATAAACCTATGTGTTAAATAAACGACCTAAGCCCGGTATATATATAAAAAACTAATTAAATATCGGTCGTAATACCAATTTATTAATTTTAATTAATAATACTCCCTTCCCTTAATAATAAATTAACTATAAAACTATAACTATAAAACTATATCAATTATAACTATAAAAATCCTACAGAAGTATATATATATGATTACTTTTAAAAATTACATTAATCTACGTAAAATACTTCTACTATATTTAACATACACTTTTCCATAAATTACTTTATAAAAAATTAGCTTAAAATAATTTAAAATATTAAATGTTATTATATGATTTATAATAACAGTTGTCAGTAGCCAGAGCACTTAGATAAACCAATAACTAAGTTTTTATTTGTAGAAAGTTCTAGCAGTTAACTAGCTAGTAAGGTTTAGTATTTAACCTTTACACATATAAATAGCTAAAAAGTATTATATATACAATACATAATAATCCAAACTAAATATATATATATTTTATATATATATGGGACTCAAACTTTATAAGAGCGATAGCGATTACATTAGGAACACAACTCATGCCAATTCTAAAGTTAAAAACTTTGCAATTATAGAAAGTACATTTCATGAACTTTACCCGTGGTTATATACCATTTAAAAGTCTGTGGACCGTCGGTACGCTCTAGAGTTTTAAAAAAATTCACACATTTTTTAATAAGTAAAAATTATATATCATTAAAATAATGTATATGCATAGCATTATTTTTTGCAAAGAAATAAAATTAAATGCAATTTAAAGACAATTGATTAGTATATTACCTGTTTCACGACTACCACGATCCTTACTGGAACGGTTAAATAGCGACTTGGTACTCTCGCCAGTAGGTGAGTTAGGTTCAGTTTGTACTAAATGAGGACTTTCTCCTACAGGCGCTGAAGTACTTAACAAAGCGTCCACACCACCTGGTGGAAATAAAGTTGGTTCATATTGTGATTGCGTTCGCATGTAAGACGTTGGTCTTGGCTGTGGTATATCCATAGGCTCAGAACGTTGCTGACTGTGTGCTGAAGTCGAAGCTTGACCAAAAATATCACGTACATTGGGACGTATGGTGTCAGCATTTCGTTGTGAAGTAATTGTTGCTTGCTCATCAACTTCCTCAATAACTTGATCTGTTATACGTATGCTACCAGGAGGTTTATTAGCTTGAACCAAACTAGCAGAGCTTGCACTACCAGGAAATCGATATTTCTGTGTGTCATCAGTTGTTGGTGTTACAGCACCTGTACGATTTTCATCACGACTTAAGAAACGTTTGAGTGCTGAAGCGACCGTGTTAACTCGTGATAATGTGCCAGTTATACTGACCAAACTGGGCGATGAACCTGGTCGTACTTTACCGTTACCGGCAGTGAAATGTATACCACTAGCATCATCCGCCTATTAATCAAATGTATGTGTATATTATTAACATATTGTAAATATTGTAAAATATGTATGTAAGTCATATGTTAGTAGTGTTTGAAGCATATTGTCGTGCAAATTTAGAATATAGTTTTTCATTTTAAAGCATAGTAAGAAAATGCCAAAAGTATTGGTGCTCTTTAGTGCAATTAGACAGGGAACGCTAATGCATGGGTGCAGTGTAATTGTGATGTTATATACAAGCTCTCATCATTTTTATGAAAGTAGTAAAGTAGTTAGGTAATGAATTGAAAAGACTAACTAACTTAACAGAGAAAGCTAGAATAGTGCTCTACATGTAAATAGTATTCAAAGCAATTTAATTGTGAAGATAGAAGAAAACAACTGTTGGATAGGGATCGAAGATAATTTTAGAATCAAAAGTAAGAATATCTGATTTGTGTCTAAACTTTAGAAAACTTTCATAATACTTTTATTCTATTATTATATCTATTTCCTATATTTTTGTGATTTTTTTAAGCTTCGATTTTGGTATTATAAAAATCACTTTACATAGAACTTACTAAAGTTTAAACTTAGAAATATATATCAATATATTAATTAAATTGATAAAAAAATTTAATAGTTTATAGATCTTTAAAAGATATTGACTAAAATTGTCTGACATTAAAAGCACTATATTCGATTGAAAACTGAAATTAAGAATAGTAAAGTTAGGATACAAGCAGAAATATAGATTTAACTGATATCTCTGATACAAGTCTATTACACATAATTATAAAAACATATAGCTTAATATTACCGGACACCAAACTTATTGAAATTTTTACATAAATATATAATACGAATAACAGCCAAACAATTGCTTGAATTTAGCAGAGGATTTCCATAATATAGTGTGCCAACCAATCACCGTCTATTTTGCCAATTTTAAAAGTAATCCATTAAACATAAAAGAAGTTAAAAAGTTATTAGGATTATTAGTGAGAAGCTTTAATTTAATTTCTGTTTCAATTAATACAACGCAAAATTTTGAAATCATGCAGGATATTGTGATTCTAACCTCCTCTTCTTGAACATTTTCAGGGAATTTGTAATTAACAGTCTGCATTTGCGTTTGTGTATCTGTGATACCATCTTTGGGTACCTCTTTACCAACCATTTCATCAACTCGCACACTGGATAATACAGTGGGTAGTGCGCCATTCTTGGTTACTTCAATTTTAGCTGTAGATGGCTCCGGATGTTCTTCCCTAAAGCGTTCTGAGGCCACTGTATATGGTAGCTCATTTGGAAATACTTCATCCCAATACTGATCTTTTATAAGTTCTGGATGTTCATGATGCATTTCGTCTACAATCAGATATGAAACTTGTAAATTTCTATCTACCATCCAATTAACCTGTAAAGTAATTTAAAACATATTAATTATCTTCTATATTAATGTATAAATAGTTTGCATTTGTTTACTTCAAAATCATCATCATCCTCTCCGAATGGATTTATTAGAGATTCTGCTACTTTTAGCCAACCCATATAGAAGAAAAATTGCAATGTTGTAAATACCGGGAAATACAAATCAATTTTATTGATGAATTTACTAGAATCTGCTACTTTGCCCTCAATCCATTGCTGACCCATGACACAACAAAGGAAATATGAATATACTGCCAATGTTACGACTTGCGTATATACAAGTGGTACACTTATAGTGTCATACGAAATTAGTAAACCACACTGACCACGAAATTTATTCAGTTCATCAATTATAGTCTTTACAGCGAAATCATCACGTATACGACCTTCTTTCCGTGCTCTTGTTATAATACTGGCAGCCCATACAATTGGCAACCAATGTTTGGAGTGACGTGGAAATGCTTTATTCATTGATTCAATAATTTCTTTTTCATTTTCTACTAGCAGACCCGAGTCTACTAGATTACTTAATTTTGGGAAACGTTTCTTTACCCGAGGTGATATATTTATTAACACCATTGTTAAACAGAGACAAACGTACCGCATTATTGTACGTCGCATAACACGACCTCGTTCATCCTGGCCATGTATATTTGAGCTTACGAACACAGCTATTGGATCTGGCCAAGGTATGCTAGTGTATTGATTCCACCATCTAGTCATAACGATCGAGACATAGAAACCAAGCACAAAAGAAAGTGGTATCAGATCTGTATAATTATAGCAATACTGCACAACGGATTCGAAGAAACTGAAGAAAAGAGAAAAGAGTGAGTGGTATACTATTTATTTTTATTGTTAATATTTCTAACAATACTTACACTTTTTGAGAGTCATTAAGAAAAAATCTATAAGAAACGTTGAGTAAATAGTAAAGGAAAAGAAACGCTAAGAGATCTAACCAAACTAATTTGTATATGCTTCCACGCCACCTACAAAAGAAAATATATATTAATATTAATAATAAGATAAATCATGAAATAATATACAGAAATTAAGTATATATTTTGTTAAGATTCAAAATTATATATATAATAAAAGGATAGTGTTGGTAAATGACAGCGCAATTCTTATCGTCTTAAATTCAAGTTTTCGCACAGCCTCTATATGGCGCCCCTATGTTGTAAGCTAATAGTGCGAACAACGAGTCCTTTCCCCAGAACTTGAAATTATCACATACCCAAAATTTTTCGCAGAACTCACCTTAAAAATTTTATAATTTAAATATGAAATCTTAAGAGAAAAATAAATTGAGGTAACTAATAACGTTGTTTATGGATCATGATGTTTGCTTGTCAGCTATTATATTTAATTTCAAAATTAATATATATTTATATTTACAATATATCTATATTGTAATTAGAATACTGGTAGCAACTACTGGCGAGAAGAAATTATTATATTCTAGGCTTGAATATTTAATTGAGGTAGAATAAAAACGTAGACAAAAGGAGTCGTAGGGTTTTTAGAAATTACCACTTAAATTGAAATACCACCTAGATAGAAATTAAACTTAAAATATTATCTATATCAAAGTTAACCCTATTCTTAACCTAAGCAGAAACGATATTAAAATCTACACTGAACTTCTTACAGAACACTGTAGACTCAATAACATGATGAAGAATATAGTTGCGGTAGAAAGTGATTCCTATGCAACTGCCCAGTGGCGGCAGTTGCATACTTGTAGGTAGTAAACCAACTTGAAAGCGGGTTCTTAGTCCAAATAAAAAAAATTAGTCCAAAAATAGGTAAAATTAATCCCACAGCAATTACGAGATTTATAAATAGTTTAGAAATCTTTTAGTTAGGCCTTTAGGCGCACAATAAGTCTTTTAGGTCGGGCTGCATTTATAACCTATTATAAAATAATAATAATAAACTATTATCTATGAACATAATTGTATAGATCATCCTATACAAAATACATTTCAAAAAGTTTTTTTTACAGGTACATAAACAATATCACGCGACATTACTTTTGTGTTATATGAAAGTGAAATATGAAAGTGAAATCATTGAGATATACTGAATTATTTATATTGCAAGCTTATCTAAAATTAATCGTAGCTGGACTTTCATATAATTTGCGAATATATTTTCTGGTAAAATCAGGGTGAACATATTATCAATTCATTTAAATATAGAGAGTACAGTTTTTTTAAATTAAAAAATTATCTAAAAAAAATAGGAAATAATAGTCATAAACTATTTTTATTTAAAGCAATAAGAAACCTATCTGTCGCGAAGTGAACAAATTATTTTCACGCTAATGTCGACTATTCCACGATTATTTTGAGGCAGGTAATCACAGTCACTGATATCTGATAATTGAGTAGTATTTAATTAATACTCCAATAGTCTCATATCAGCAACGTAACACATTAAAAGATAATCTATAATATATAAATTTAAAAGAGTTACGTCAAATTTAATTGTATCCATTTTAATCATACGACGTTCTTACCGAAAATACTGATAAAACAATAATTGTTGTCATTAGTCGAGTGAATGTTACTTTTTTGTTATGACAGGTTTCAATAATAAATTGTGGACGAAAGTAGGTTAATATTGTAGATTATGTTATAGATGATAATTAATATATATATACAGTCAAACCTATCTATAACGAAGTCGTTGGTGCCTACGACTATAACTTCGTTATAAAGAGGAATTCGCTATAGAGAGTTTTGTTATAGAGAGGTTCGCTATAGAGAGGTTTGACTGTATTTATATAAAGAAATTTTACAGTACTTAGTATAATGACAACAAATAATTACAAATATAACTATTATGAAACATAAATAGATTTGGCAGTAAATGCTATGGAAACTAACTACAGCAATATTAGCGATAAGTCATAAGCCGCATATTTTTAGAAAAACTTTCATAAATAAAAATATTGGGTTTCGTATTAGAAATAATAGTAATCTAAATATTACAGCATTAATGTTATAAATAGAATATCTGTCATTACTAATTATACTTGGATAAACTAAATCGCTTGAAATTTTTTTTTTGATGACGCCGAATATTTAATTATATTATTTTAAAGCTAAATCATAAAAATATTGAGAACTTGTTGAACCTTTATCTATATCAAACGTTTATCTTTATTTAATTACTTGAAGAACTAAAAACAAAGATGATTAATACAATATTAGTCGTAAGTAAACAATGCATCATTTGGTCTATTTTAATTAATTAAAACTTAATTGTGATAATAGAGCTTATTTTCACTTTAAATCGTTTATTTAAACAGTCAAAAAAGTCATGCTCTTTAGATTAAATCTAATATCTCAAAAAGTATATGACCTGGTATATAATTAAAGTCACAAGTGCAATACAATTAACACATTTATGTATGACAATACCGAATCAAGATTTATTGCTTAACCCGTTTGTGGCTACACTAAGTTAAAGAGTGCCAAAAATACCGTCATACATAATGGTTTAAACCTATGAATAAAAAATAATATTAAACTACAGATAATTTATACATATATAGATGTCCAACACGTTACAAACAAATATCCACTAAAATATAAACTATACTATAAATCAAATAATAAAAAAATTTAGTATAAAGATAATTACAATTTATTTTTAATCTTCTTGAAGATTCTTTAAGATCTTATATGAAAAAGCCTTCCACACAAAAATTAAATGCATATAAAATAAGTAAATGAATATTCAAAGATTAGAGCTCAAAGTGGAAATCAGAAAAATTATGATTCGATATGTTAGCTTAACTTTAACTGAGAAGTTTTAAGATTTTTTAAGATTCTGTCTATGTGCAAGTAATTTATATTCCATTTTATAAACCGGGTGCACGTATATTATTTTTAGGATTTATAGATTCAAAGAATGCTTTTACTTTGCAATATTTTAATTTATAAACAAAATTTCTAACTCTAAGTACGCTGTACAAGACAATATTAAGACCGTTAGCTACATATGGCTCAGAAACATGGACAATGACGAAGGCGGACAAAGAAGCTTTAAGAATTTTCGAAAAAAAATAGTTCGCCAAATCTACAGGTCAATCCAAATTGATTCAAAAACTTTTCAAAGCTAAACAAACAATGAAATTGAAGAGCTACTAAAAAACGAAAATATAATGAGATACATTAAGTCACAAAGGCTACAATGGGCTGCCCATGTTTCAAGAATGGGACCGGAGAGAAAGCCGTGTAGCATATACAACACAAAGCAACCAATCACAGAGGTGGCCAATATTTAACAAGATGCGATGAGAATGTGTATGGAATGCAAGAACGATTGGAGTGCTGAGCTGGAAGAGAGTAGTGAAGATCGGGATAGATGTAGGCAGATCGTGAGGAAGGCCAAAGTTCACACTGGATAAAAAGAAAAAATAGAAGTACTCTGTTTGAAGCAATTAATAAAGTAGTTATATTTTTTTTTTTTTTTGTAAGATTGTAAAAACTTATTTATCTCCATTTGACACTTCTCTAAAGGCACACCAGTTATAGTCTCTTAATTTAGTTTACTTTACACACTGATAATAATCAGCTGAGGAATAATCTCCAAAGGTTTATGATGTAGCACCATTTAAACAAAATAAACTTATAATCAATTGTTTTTATTACACACTTTTGGAAAGTTTAAAATTCAAATTTAGATCGAGTGTACCCGTATTGCATAGTATCAAATTAAAAGTAGGTAATAGCCATTTTTAGTATATTTAATAATGTTCAAAATGAAACTTTAAAATTTAAAGTTGCTTATAAGTGTAATCAAGGAAATAAGAATATTATTTATCTATCTATTTTCTAACAAAAAGTCATATATATATATATAAGACATGTTGAACCTATTCAGCTGAATGGCAGTGTATGTATAGAAGTTTTATAGAATCATTGTTAATTTAGGACTTAAGTCTTCATTGTAATACTTACTATTGTTACAGGTCGAACTGGTGAGAAATGCATTCATTGTTTATTATATGATATGATAATATATACACTGATTAAATTAACAATTACATTTTATACAATTTAAAATTGTGATTTTTATTGAATTTATATATTTTTCATTTTCTCAAACAAATAGAAAATAAATTATTTATTTCTTTAATACATATTTAGCAGATAAATATATGTTATGTGATTAATAAAGGGTTAATAGTTGCTTGTCTACCGACAAAGCCTGTTATCAGTTTCCAAATAATAAGGGTTTAATGATCTAAAATTATCATGTTCCATCAAATTAAGTCTATTCAAAATTTGGTTATACACATAATTGACATATGCTAATATACTTTTCTTGATGGTGTATTTTATTGTGAAAAAACATTAGTATCAGTGTGATGTTTACTGTTTGCTGTTCACTGTTTGCTGTTGTTAACAACAAAATTGAGGACTGAACTTGATAAATTTGTTAGCAAATTCCCTGAAGTATTCGTGTGTACGTGTGTACTTGTGTACTTTGAGTATGAACAAACTAAATTATGTAACAAACATATTTCTTATCAAGTGAAAATGTACTTGACTTTGTTGGTTATCGCAGTTAATAATTGTAATTTTACTTTCTATTTGCTCTGTCTTGTTTGCATAGACAAGTTGACGACACAATTGAGAATTTGTTATTTCTGCTCTAGAAAGAAATAATTAAAAATTCAATTCTTACTTTGTCTAAATAACAAATAAAAATACTAATTGAAACGATTACAAATTCAATCTTACACGTGTAAATAGTTTTTTATATATTATTTTATTGATACAGAGTACACTTATATACACTGTTTCTAACACTCATTTCAGAACCCATCTTTATACGAGTACTTGATCTTATTATTAAAAATATAATATAATTTTGAATTATCACATTTTAAAATAATAAAGATAAAATTATCTACACAACAGTTGCTTGTAATAGAGATTTTTAATATTTAATATTTAATTCACTTACCTTAACAACAACTTTAAGAAACAGCCGAAACCGCGGCATGTGGCTACTTCCGCTGTGTATGTGACTGTCATTTTTGCCTCTAAATTCTGCTTTGTTCTTCTAACACTGCTATATGTGCTCTTTTTTAATTATTTAGATTATAGGTCTTCTAGCTTTTTCTAGTTTTCACTATGCTATTAAATATTTGCTACGGTTCGGTTTTGGTATCCACATTATTTCATATTTTCCGTAACTTTCTGGTACAAGACCTTATACTAAAGGTAGTTCTATTTGTTTGTAGTGATAACTTTTGAGCGAATATCATCTTTTTGGTACCATCTACCAGAAAAAATTAGAAAAGAAAAATATCAATAGAAAAAATAAATCAAGCTTTTTTATATAATATTTCATATTATTTAATCTATGTTTAAATTGAAATAAAGATATATAAACTCAAACAATCACACACTGCTCATATTGTTTGAAAGAAGTTTTCCATTAGTTCAAAAAATGAAATGAACAGATTAGAGTATTTGAAAATATTACTCTGTAATTGCTTTTCTAAATAGACTTCACATTAGTTATGAAGAAAACTCCTTCACTTTACCACACATACTCAAGCAGGCAGTGCTCATGACACTTAAAGAAGTGATTCATTTACTCCAAAAAATAGGATACCTACATTAAGACCGAAAAGTTTTCGGAAATTCTCATTTAAAATTCGCGCGCTGTATATTTTTCGATATTTTAAGTTTATGTAGTTTGGCAGCAATTAAGGACAATTACTATGCCAAAATGAGCGCGATCTGTCAGTTCGTTTACGGCAGCTGTTGAAACCAGTTCACCTCAGTAGTGCGTTGCGAAAAAAACAATGGAAAAAAATATTGGACAAAGAGTTTGCATCAAATTTTGTGTTTCGAACGAAATTTCTTGTGCAGAATCGTTGCGAATGCTACAAAAGGCTTATGGGGAATCAGTTTTATCGAAAACTCAAGTTTATGAGTGGTACAAAGCCTTTCAGGACTGTCGTACGACCGTCGAAGACATTTCGCAACGCACTACTGAGGTGAACTGGTTTCAACAGCTGCCGTAAACGAACTGTCTGACAGATCGCGCTCATTTTTGGCATAGTAATTAAGGACAGTGCTGCCAAACTACATGAACTTAAAATATCGAAAAATATACAGCGCGCGAATTTTAAATGAGAATTTCCGAAAACTTTTCAGTCTTAATGTATATTAAAATTTTGTTTTAATATAGTTATTAAAAAAATATAGAGTTTTGGGATCCGCTAGATATTATGTAGACTGCCAAACACAGAATTTAATAAAGTCAATACAAAATCAACAGTTAAAAATGCGGATGAATATGTAATAGGTAAGGGCGATATATTAAGATCAATAGTAGGAAAGATTCATTTCATTAATGATGCAGTGGTTCACTTCTAAATTTTAAATATTTTAAAGCAAAATGTTGAAATTTTGCTTAGAGAATAACTCAAAGAACAAATTGTTCTTCATTTGAAAGTATCACAGTTCTGTCAGGTTAGTTAGGTTATGGACTCTAAAGAAAACGGTATGCCTAGACACTATAAAACAATAGATAATATATGCTTTAGTATATATATCTATTCAGAGAAATAAAGTTGTCATAATTTTAAGTTGGCTTGAAAGTTAGAACTAATATGCTATATAATTAAATATTTTAAAAACATTAAAATACATGTAGATCACTGTTATCCCATATATTGATGGGAGACTATTTTGTCTTAATATGAGATTTAGACACTACTCATAGTGTCAACAATAATAACAAACTATCAATCTTACATGACTGATTATAAATACAATGTATACAACAATAAGACAGGCAATTTAAAACAAAATATTGCTGTATTTAAAATATAAGTAAATAAATAATACCACATATATAGGTACAAAATAATTAAAAGTTCAGGTTGAATAATTTTTAAAAAATTGCATGTAATTTTAAATAGAAAAGTATAATTAATATAAATGCTTTAATGAACTTGACTAACCAATTTTTCATATGAAAATATATTACTTAAATAAAAAACTTAACTATGTGGATTGTATGGGTGTAGCGAAGAGAGGAGTAGTTGACGATAGCTCTCACTCCCGAAAAATGTACTTAAAGTAATATTTTAGAAAATTTCAAAATGAAAAAAGGACCCATGGAGTAATAGTTCTTTTAAAAATGAAAGATCCATGGCGTAAGTATAGTCATAGTATTTTAAAACGATCATATATAATTATTAAAACTAGTTTCACATGGAATTTGACCCTTTGTTGACCCTTTCATCATTAATAATATTGTAGATATTGAGCGGAACTACATTGATTTTTTTTTTCGTTGGTTTAGTTTTTTATGAAGGAAAATTTCTCTAAATTTGTCCCCTCAATATATTTTCTGGAACACCTCTGTATATGTAGTTAATATATGCAAGTATTTAGCACAAAGTCATTAAGAATGAATATTCGCATCACGTGTTGATTGTACTTTTGTTTAAAAGTAGTAAAAAATTGTTAAATTAAAAATAAAACAAATATTTAAAGTTTTAACACGCGAAAAATATTATGAATTATAGTAGATAAAAAAATTCATTACCTCAGCTGTGCATTAATTTTAAATGTTTACAATATGAGGGCATAAATACCATCAAAACCGAAATCAAATCGATAAGTTAAATTAAATGTATCTATCTATCTATCTATCTATCTATTGTATAAATTGAACTTTTATATAAACATTAAATAGATATTGTTACTATATTTGCTTAGAATAATATTGGATAAGAGAGGAACCTTATAGAATAATGCATTATAACTGGCGCTGGAGTGTTGAAGAATAGCTCTTTATGTTTTTTGTAAATATAATAATTAAAAAATGAACTAATAATTATTTGAAGCATTGAGAATGAAATCTATTAAATTTGGATTGACTTAAAATTATTATTATTTATTTAAAAAGAGTAAAAAGCCATCAAACAAAGATATACTAGAGAGAGTGCAGAACAACGTAATTAACGTTTAGGAATCGAGAAAATTCGCTAGTAATAACAGAGCAAATACGACACCAGAACAACGTAGCGTGAATATTGCAGGTAGTCATTCGTGAGGTTTTGAATATTATTTGTGATGCATTTGTTTTAGAATTGTTTTATAATTTAAGATTTACATGTACATATATCTGGTAACACTTAAACTATGTCACACAAACTTAAAATACCAAATTCATTAGCTGATTTTATTGCCTCGTGCTAATCACAACCTTATTCAGTAACTGACAATGGAATATATACCGCGCAGGCTACAACCACATTTAGTAACTGAAGGTGGTTATTATCTGAGCGGAGCATATACAGTGTCATTGAATATATCACAAATTAACACTGGAACGAATATCAAAGTATGGTAGTTTATAGTGACTGTTGTATCATTTTATGTTATTTACTTTGGTGTAAGAATTTTGTAAGGGTTTAATATACACACATCATTTTATATTTATTAATATATATGTATATTATCTCTTAGTATTATTAGTGTTATTTATTAGTATAATTTTGTTTTTATAAATACATACTTATAAATTTATTTCTAATATATCAAACTTATTTAAGACTTCATCCCAGGTTTATAGTCTCACATCGGTTGATATGTTTATACTATATCACTATATTTAGGATAATTATTTGTTTACGCGAAAAGTGCAAAAGTTTGACATTAAAAAATATTACTAAATAATGTATAACAAAATATTTCACTATTTAAACTTTATCAAATTCTGTAGAAGTATTTTAAAATTCATATAATTATTTGGCTGTCATTATATTTACATCGATGATATGAGAAACTAAATGGGGATTTAATGTGAAATGTTGCATGTGTTATTGGTAATAACTCACCTAATAACGCATATTAGATTTGGAATGAAATTAAATCGAGTCGCGATTAAAATTTTATTCTAGCCTTTTTAGAATAAAGTAAAAGTATGACGACAGCAACTATAACTTATTTAGCGTGTAACATTTTTTTCTAAATACAGGTGAAATAATATGGCATTGGATTCCAAGTACTAGTATGACAATTAAATTGCAAATTTTTAATCACATCATGTTATTTTTTATAAATTTGGTATTGCAACTAGTTCTCTCAAATTAGATTATTTAGAAATTTTATTATGTTAAATATGTTAACAATACTTTACATTGTAAACAATCATATAAAGTTTACATTGATTATATCAATCAGCTTACTACTAGTACAGATCACATAAGCACTTTTTATAGCATTCTTGATTGATGAAATCTTATAGCTTCTGTGAGACATTTCTACAGTTGATATGATATGTTTTGAACTAATAAAAAATAGTAAGAGAATTTTATGCATATTTAATTCATGGAATAAAAAGTTCTACATCGCGAACTACAAAAACAATTATGCTATAATTGAAAAATATTTCTTATTTACCTTTGAAGCCTCAAAACTTAATTAAATCATGCTTATATCATCACTTTTGCTGATCTAATTCATACTCAAGTCAGTTTTGATACTTAAGTCACGACAGTGTTTCGGTCCTAAGACCATAGGGTATACTATAGTATATAGTCTATATATAGTCTATAGTCTTAATATAGTCTATAGTAGTCTATAGATTATAGACTAGAATTATTTACTGTAAATTAATTAATACTTAAGTCAATTTCAAGACTTGAGTTCTGTTAGTAAACTTAATCATAAGAGTATAGATTAATCTAACCGTAACATTGGTTTCATATCTTCAGATATTATTTAGTTTCCACAAAAGTTAACAGAAAAGTTAATTTACAGAACTTAAAAAATATATTATATTAATTATAATATAATATAATATAATAATTATAATAATATTACTTATATTAATTTGAAACCGAATAAAGTTAATAAATTAAAAATCAATTGTATTATTTATATATAATAAATTATATAAGTAGAGTCTAACATACTCCTTAATAGGGAGCGAGGCGGGAAGTTTTCGAATGAGAAATTGATGGAACAAAAAAAGGAGATATTAAAGCATATATTGAACATATATCTAAACGATGAACCCCTATTTGTTAAGTTATATTAATTAATGGCAAAAATAAAAAACCATTAAAGTTAACTATGTATGTATATATTTATAGCTGAATAAAATGATTAACAAAAAATAGTCGATTTATATTATTTAATGAACATTAATAACATTTTTAAACTTAGGTATGTCATCTATTACTATATTAATATCTCTTAATACAAAGAAGAAAATTCTTGTAGATGACAGGTATAAAAACAGATAAT